AAATAAAATTTTCTTTGATGAAAAAGAATGTATCAATTTTTTGATCGAACAACAAATAATTAAACAACCTGATAAATGTCAGTTTTGTAATAGTGAAATATACTTGTACCTTAAAGAAAATGTTTTTCGATATAAAAATACTAAATATAAAAGAATGATTACTATATTTAAAAATACTTTTTTCTCACAACACAGATTGAAATGTAATAATATTTTATTAATCACATAATTTGGATTCACAAACTTCGAATATCTCAAATTCATAATATGAGTGAAATTGTGAGATTAACTATAAGAAGATTTATTAATTCTCTTAGACAATTAACTATTAATTCATTAAAAATAGAAGATACTATTATTGGTGGGTCTAATATTATAGTTGAAATTGATGAAAGTTTATTTAGAAACTTTTGGATTTTTGGAAGAATAGAACGAACAAAAGAAAGAAAAATATTCTTTGTTGTTGTAGATGATCGAAAAACTGAAACGCTCATAAAATTTATTAAAAAATTTATAAAACCAGGATTAATAATATATACTGATTCTTGGAAAGGATATCAAGGATTAGATAAACTTGAATACAAACATTTTAGAGTAAATCATTCACAACAACTAACACAAAAGCAAAGATTAAGAAGAATACACACAAATCATATTGAAAATACTTGGAAATTACTTAAAAATTTTATTCCCAAAGAAAAAAGAAGAAAAGAAACTATTGAACCATTATTAAAAAAATTTATTCTTAGATGTAAATATAGAGATAATCTATGGAAAAAATCTTTAGAATTACTTAAAAATAACTAATATTTAACTTCTTTTCCATTCATATTCCCAGTATTTTTATCATGAGCTAATTTAAATTGGATTGCTTGTTGCTTAGCTTGTTCTGAAGTTCTTTTTTTTGTAATATAAAACCATTTATTTTTTTGTTTGTTAGATTCATAAAAATGAAATCTCCAAGTTTTACGTATTTTAATATAAGAAATTTCATTATATCCACTTGAATTATGTTTATATAATTTACAATTTAATGCGTTTTCTCTCCATGTTGTTTCTCGAAGATTGCATTTTCTATTGTCAAGACCATCTCGATTGATATGGTCAATTAACTTGAATTTTAATTTAATCATTCTATGAAAAAGAACTAATTTTTTATTAATATTTGTTGCAATATAAAAAGTATTATGATTTTTGCTTTTCCAAGATAACCAGGTATATTTTTTTATTAAATCAAAATTATCAAGATCAGATAGAAATGTGATTTCTGGTTTTTGAGTTGAGACTTCAAGAAATAAAGTTGTATCGATTTCAACAATTCGATAAGAATTAGATTTTCTTCGAGGTTTAATGATTGGAAGTTTAGTCCAACCAGTCAAAACTTCAAAGTTTTTGAATTTCTCTGACCAATTCATTTTTTTTTTTGATAATAAATAATCTATAAAAAGTCTTATAATTTTTATTTTCTCTGAGTCAAAATTTTTTTTAAATTTTTTTTAAAACTTAACAAAATGTCTTATTATATTTATCATTCTGCTAATAATTATGTTTTTCATTTTACATTAAGTAAAAAAGATTTAAAAATTCATGTTACAAAAGCAACTTCAACTCGACAACTAACACTTATTCAAGTTGAATCTAAAAATTATTCGTTTATAATTAAAACAAGTGACTTAACAAATATTGAAAAATACGCAGAAGCAGATAAAATCATTAGTTTAAATAAAAATGTTGAAAGTTTTTCTATATTATATAATAATACTACTATAATTTATCAAAACGATAACTTTAGCAAATTATTTTAATTTTTAAATAAAATTAATCAAAAAAATTTATTAATTTATTGATATGCATTCAGTCTTGTAAAAATTACAAATGCAAGCCAGACCAAACGTGCAGGTAGCATATCATTCTGGCTCTTAAAAATTTAATGAAGAGCTAGAATTCAGAGAGAATTATATCGGCCCCCAAACCATTTTTGATATAATCCTTATCTTATGCTCATCCGTTTTTAACCTAGTAGTAGGTGCATAGAGCATGTCGCCTCTCAGTCTACCAGGAATCATATAAGTTTAATTTATATGTTTTGTTTAAAATTCTTTTTTTGTTTTTAAGACCAACAAAAAAATAAAGCGTTCGTTTGAGAACTACTAACTAAAAAAACAACCAGGTCAAGCCTTCACACTAATTTTTTTGTTTAGTAAAGAGAAATTTACCAAGGTCAAAAAATT